GCCACTGAAATGGAAAAAGTCGAGACAATTTTTTTTTCATATCATGATGTGAGGAGTTGTAATTTGATGAAATCTATCATAGCAATCAAAAAGTGAATTTTGGATTTTTTATAAGTTACGACTTTTTGCATTTCAGTGACGATGATGATACGTTATTTTGCAATTCAGGTGACGATATGCACCATGCTAGACCATCTGCCCCGGATCGTGAATACCCCTAATATCTGAAAAATCCTATGCAAATCGATGCTTGATAACTTTTTTTTTAAAAAAAACGCATAAAATTTGCAAAATCTCATCGGTTCTTTATTTGAAACGTTAGATTGGTCCATGACATTTACTTTTTGAAGATAATTTCATTTAAATGTTGACCGCGGCTGCGTCTTAGGTGGTCCATTCGGAAAGTCCAATTTTGGGCAACTTTTTCGAGCATTTCGGCCGGAATAGCCCGAATTTCTTCGGAAATGTTGTCTTCCAAAGCTGGAATAGTTGCTGGCTTATTTCTGTAGACTTTAGACTTGACGTAGCCCCACAAAAAATAGTCTAAAGGCGTCAAATCGCATGATCTTGGTGGCCAACTTACCGGTCCATTTCTTGAGATGAATTGTTCTCCGAAGTTTTCCCTCAAAATGGCCATAGAATCGCGAGCTGTGTGGCATGTAGCGCCATCTTGTTGAAANGATATTTAATTTTTATCAGTATTTTTCTTTTAACAATCTATGTTGAAATAAAGGTGAAAATAAAAATATATTTTGTCAGAACACCCCCGTCTAGCCTTTAGTACTTACATTAGCAATCCTTCCAAATTCTATAAAAAAGAATAAAAAATTTCCTTTCCTAACCCGAAAACCCATAGTAAATCCGCCACTGATCCGAGGTGTCTTTTATTGGTACTTTACAAATAAGTTTTGGAATGTTATAGGATGTTGCAACAAAAATAATATCTGGCTTCTAATATATTATTTTATTTTTATTTTTAATAGTCAAAGAAAGCAAAAATATCAAAAATTTAGTTGTTATTTATATATATACTAGCAGACCCGGCGAACTTCGTCCCGCCGAAAATTAGATTTTTAATTTAAACATTTCGGTCGAACAGTTTCTCCAACAATCCACATTTACGATTTGTACTGGCACATTCATCGACTAAGACTATGGTTTGGTGGTCGTTTGGCGCACTAAATATCCGAACGAAAGTGTTATGTCCATGAGAAGTTCCCTGGTGGCAACAATGATCCGGAGCTATAGTGAATGTGCCCTAGAAACTTGATCTTCTAGTTGGTGGCAATTTCAAAATGAATGCGTATCCTTGTTCAACAGAAATACAATATACATATATAGACTGAGATGAAATACCTTAAAAGCCAGTTTCGCGAAAGTAATTTAGGTGAAAAATGATTTCTTTCTGTCAGGTTCTATATTAAATTCAATTAAAAAAATTAATTTTCATTAAATTGCTTTCATGAAACTTCGACAGGTGGTGATTTGAGATTTACCACTGCACAACTCAACCCCGGTTTCTTCGAATGAAGCTTTAACGCATAATAATATTGGCAAATCATATCCATTGGGCCAATCGTAATACACGAGAGCTCGATATACTCAATGGTGCAACAGGTCGATTAGTCTGACATTTACGGCACCTTTTCTCACTTGTAAATTTTTAGTAATAACTCGACCTCAGCACCACCTGGCAATTGGACTGCCTTTACCGTTTCCAATACATGTTTTGAATATCCGCCAAATCGGATCATAATAAAGATTTTAAGTAATAACTCAACTCCAGCGCCAACTGGCGGATTAAATTGTGAAACTATACTATACCCACTCAAACAAACACACAAAACTTTGTTAAAATCCCTCCAGCCATTTAGGATTTCACTCACAAATATACCTACAGAAGAATTATATACACATCCAAAATTAAGTAAAAGTCAGTATGTTTGTACTTTTCTACGCCCTCTTTTCAAAGAGCCCATTTTGCTCAATGAGAATGGGATTAATTTCATACATCTCCATACGAAGCGTTCCAGTACTGTACCATGAACACTTCTAGAAATTCGCAATATAAAATTCGGCTTGTATGGTAGGTGCCACGTTCCCTTTTCCAATAGCTCCATATTGTCTCCATGACTATGCGATTAATTTCATATATCACCACACCAAGTTCCAGTACTCTACCAAGAACAATTCTAGACATATGCAATAAGAAAAAATCGACTTCTATGGGAGGTGCCACGCCCGTATAAAGTTCCAGTAATCTACCATGAACACTTCTAGAGATACTTATTATGAAAATTCGGTTTGTATGGGAGGTGCCACGCCCCCTTTTCAAATAGTCCGAATTTTTCTTCATGAGTATGCGATTGATTTCATATGTCTCCATACCAAGTTCAAGTACTCTATCACAAATACTTCCAGAGATATGAAGTATAACAATTTCGGTTTCTATAGAAGGTGCCACGCCCTTTTCCAATAACTCCAATTTTTCTCCATTAGTTTGTGATTGATTTCATATATTTCCGTACCAAGTTCAAAAATTTTACCATGAACGCTTCCAGAAATATGCAGTATGAAATATTCGGGTTGTATGGGATGTAACATGCCCTCTTTTCCAATAGCTCCAATTTTTCTGCAAGAGTATGGGATTGATTTCATATATCTCCATACCAAGTTCCAATACTCTACCATAAATACTTCCAGAGATATGCAGTATGAAAAATTCGGTTTGAAACGGAGGTGCCACGCCCTTTTCCAATAGGTCCAATTTTTCTCCAAGATTATGCGATCGATTTCATGTGCGCCAATACCAAGTTCCATCACTCTACCATGAACACTTCCAGAGATATGCAGTATGAATATGTTTATATGGGAGGTGCCACGCCCCCTTTTCCAATAGCTAAAATTTTCCTCCAAGAGTATGCGTAGGATTTCGTATATCTCTATACCAAGTTCCATCACTATTTCCTGAACATTTCCAAAGGAATACAGTATGAAAAGTTAGGTTTGTACGGGAGGTGCCTAGCCCCCTTTTCCGATAGCTCCAATTTTTCTCCAAGAGTATGCGATGGATTTCATATATCTTCATACCAAGTTCCAGGACTCTACCATGAACATTTCTAGAGATATGGAGTGGAGGCTGCTCCATTATCTTGAATATCGAATTAGCGAATCTCACTTGAATGTCAATTTTTTTTGATATAAATCTATTATCGTCTTAGAACTCGAAATGTGTATAATTGGAAGCTATTTCGGGCTATTTCGAAAAACTCACCAGGTTTGTAGGGGCAGTTTTTAGCACAGAACTCAAATATGTTAATATTTTTATCTTACCAAGTAATCTAAATTAATAATAAATAGAATCTGCAACTCAAAACTTACAAAATCATTAATATAAATTTTCAAATTGTCCAACTATCCCCAAAACGTTTTCAATATTCTCAATACTATTTATCATTTTATTCTATTTTTTCCGCCCTTGCAATGTCATCAACGGAATTTCATTATATTTTTTTAAGTTCGAGTTATTACCGATTTTTCTCAAAAGCATGATTGCTTGTTACTAAGATTTTTTACGACTACGGTTGCCTGATGTACTGATTTTATCAGAACATTACTGATTTTTCAACTCTTGTACTGATTTTATTCATTTCTTCAATCAGTACGCTAATGTCCTGATTTTTCAAAATTTGTACTGATTTGTACTGAATTTTCAATTCAAACAAAAAACTTTAGGATTTTTTAAGGTTTTTACATAACGTTGTAACTTCCTTAAACTGTACTGTAAAAAGTAAGATGATAATTTAATTATAGTTGACATGTTTCAGATAATGTTTGATATGCTTAAGAAATTAATACAAAAGAACATATCAATCCTTTTATGGGCATATCGCCGAGTTGTTACATACCAGATTTTAATATAAAAATCCACCTAAGATTTAACTGTCATCGGTGATGTTAATTCTGACCTTGTATCACCTTGACAGAAGAATTTACTTTTACATTGCAAAGTCGGAATTAACACCAGTGATGACAAATAAGACCCAGTTGGGTTCTAACATCACAAAGTTGTTTTTGTGAAAATTGCAGATAGAGGCTATTGAATATAAGCCCTCGCCAACTGCTGGCCCCGCTAACGCTGTGCCTACGTATGCCGCTGCTGCGGCTTTGGCGAACAATGCTAGGTTGAACAATGCACAAGCGAAAAACGCAACTAACAATGCGCAAGCAAATAATGCACACTGGCCCGCTATGGATAAAAAGCGTACTCATAAGAGACATAGGCGGTGTGTATTTGGGTCAAATGAGAACTCGGAGCTGGGAGTTGTGGTTCGTCGCAAATGGCTGCACTTATCATCGTTTTTGCCTACTGTAAGGACTGATAACAGCATTGGCTATGTGGCTAAATATGCAGCTATCAATAAGAAGACAATTGTATGCTATAAACTGGTCAAGAAGGATTCTGATTTGGAAACTATTAAGCACATTAATTTCAAGCTTGGAGTTTCAGAATCTGACTACTCAAAATTCTTTCATCCGATATTTGGCCCTCCAACGTTGCTGTCCAGCCTTTTGATTTTTTTCAGAAAGATGCCCAGCTGCAGCCCAAGAAGTAAAAAGTCATTCTACCTCTGGTGATCGGAAAATACGTATCTATCACCAAAATACTTCGGGACTCAGGACAAAATCCGAATCTGTCTACATTCTCAGCTCACAATTGGATTATGGCTGCTTCGTTCTGACGGAAACTGGCTGAATGCTAACTTTTTCGATACGGAGTTCTTTAATCCAGCTCTCTTTGACGTTTTTCGCAAAGACAGAGATTTTGCTAAAACTGGTGTTAGTAGGGGTGGTGGTGTACTGAAAGCTGCGCGCAGATATCTTCGAGCTTCTTTTTATCCGCTGCTAGATGCCAACTCCCTGTTGGATCAACTTTGTGTAAAATTACATGGCACCTGTGGTGTGCTGTACATTTGTGTGTCCTGCATTCCGCCGGGCAGCTGTGATGTCATATACAAGGCACATGTTGACAATATACTGGCACTCCACGAGAAAATTGGAAACAGCCAACTTTGTGTTTTAGGTGACTTTAATGTAGGTAATATTTCCAGGAGCTTTATTGATAACAATATTTTCCTTACCCCATCAAATGTTACTACTTTATCTGAATCATATTTAATTGATAATTTATTATGTATTGAATTATTTCAAATCAATGGTTTTTTTAATGAGTTAAACCGAATTTTAGATTTAATATTTATTATTTTTATTATATTATTTTTAAGTCTAAACTTTTTGATATTTGTGTGGGTCACATCCCAATTCTTAATTCGAAAACCGCTAAGCGTCCATGGTTTACTAAAGAAATCAAACGTATAAGGAATATGAAGAATAAATTCTACAAAAGGCAAAAGCATTCCAACGATGTTAATTTGCGTGAGCGTTACGTGTTTTATAGAGCTGAATTTAACAGGCTCAATAAATCTTTGTATAGGAATTATATTCGCGGCGTAGAAAGCAATATTAAATCTAATCCCAAGTTCTTCTGGAGTTATATTAAATCAAAGAAAAATTGCTCTAATATACCTGTATCGGTCCAGCTTAACGGGGTGTCAGCTAACTCCATCTCCTAAGCTGTTAATCTTTTCGCTGATTTTTTTTCTTCCAATTCTATTTCAGGTAATTCTGATAATGATTTTATGCCTGAAGATCTTTTGTCAAATTTAGATACTCTCATTAACTTCGGGAAATTAAAATTGACAGACGAGGATGTAGCTAATGGCATTAACCAGCTTAAACTATACAATAACACTGATGTAGATGGCCTCTCGGTTATTTTATTTAAAAGTTGTCCTTCACTAATTGCGCCTTTGAGGCACATTTTTAACATGTCTCTATCTGCCGGAGTTTTCCTCGATGACTGGAAATTGACTTTTATTACGCCAAATCTTAAAAGTGGTAATAAAAATTGTATTGAGAATTGTATTGAGAATTCTAAGCTTACCACTGTCTCAAAACTGTTTGAGTCCATAGTTAAAGATAAAATTTACTTTGCTGTTAAATATTTATTATGTCCCAACCAACATGGGTTCGTGCCGGGTAGATCTACATTAACCAATTTAGCTGCTTTTACAGAGGACTGTTTGGAAAGCTTTCAAAAGGGATTCNGGATCACATCCTATCTGTATAACAGACGCTGTGTTGTTCGTTTTGATAATGTATCGTCTTATTCTTTTGTCTCCTCCTCTGGTGTTCCCCAGGGTAGTGTCTTAGGTCCGTTATTATTTGTTATCTTTATTAATGATATATCTTCCTGTTTCTCAAAGTGTAAGTTTCTTCTATATGCGGATGACCTGAAGATATACTATGAAATTAAAAATATAGAAGACTCATTGATTCTCCAGGGTGAGCTTGATAATTTGTAGATACTGTTGGTGTGCGCGTAATCGGGTGTCCCTCAATATTGGTAAATGTCATTATACCTCTTTTGCAAAAGTGATTAGTATTGTTCCAACCTCTTACTGTTTTTCGAATGTCCCGCTAAAATCAATTACTGATTTTAAAGACTTGGGTGTTTATTTTGACTCCAAGCTCACCTTCACCACCCACATAAACTTTATTGTTTCTAAATCATTCGCGATGTTGGCCTTTATTCGTCGCAACTGCTCGTCATTTTCCGATCCTTATACTCTCAAACTGNCTCGTCATTTTCCGATCCGTATGCTATCAAACTGTTGTATTCATATTGGAGTCTGTTCAGAGGGCTTTTATACGCTTTGCTTTGCGTCCTTTGAAATTTGTAGACCCTATTCCGTCCTATCGTTCTCGTTGTTTGTTGATAAATCTCATGTCCTTAGAGTCCAGGCGTACTTTGTTATCGATGTGCTTTGTCTTTGACATAATTGTAGGCTCTATAGATTGCTCGCACCTCCTTATGAAAATTCGTTTTAATGTTCCCTCACGTATTCTTCGTTGTAATGAATTGTTTTTTGTGGGTGTTGTTAAAACTGTTTATGGTATGAATGCTCCTTTAAGGAGGACTCTCTCCCAATTTAATGCTTATTCTTCATCTTTAGACTTCGATTTTTCTGACTCAAAGTTTACTCTTAAGAATTTACTCATAAGGCACTTGTCATAAGGGTTTCCCTTATTCTATGTATGTATTTGTCATATAGTCTGTAAGCGTCCTGTTTGTTGATAATAATAATAAATAAATAAATAATAGGTTTGTTCCACAAGCTACTCGAAGTAACTTCGAGTTACACATACGCGTTCCACAACTAAGTTTTAGAGTTTCTTTGATATACGCTCACAGTTTAAACTTTGCTCGAGTTTTTTTACAAGTAGCTTGTGGAACAAGCCTAATATCGAGGGCTTATATTCAATAGCTTCTATCTGCAATTTTCAGGAAAACAACTTTGTGATGTTAGAACCCATCTGGGTCTTATTTGTCATCACTGGTGTTCAATCCGACTTTGCAATTTAAAACTAAATTCTTCTGTCAAGCGTGATACCATGATACAAATATTTAAAGGTAGTTTCACTTCTTCTTCTTAGCCGCCATTGCTCCCATTTGACGTAAACTGTACTTTTGGCATTTTCTTTTGAAATCGAGCTACCATATTCTTTGACAGAAGGAAAAAAATATATAATTATTTAAAAGAAATTAAAGCTTTAGCGATAGTGAATATAGAACGGAAGGTAAGTGAAATAGTACATTGTATTCACATAAAATATGCATTTACTCTTGTTAATTATTGTATTGTTTTTTAGTAAGATGAGCTGCATATTTAGGAGCTGCAAAAATAACACAAGAAATTGCGAAAAAAACTAACATAAAGTTTTTTCGACTCCCGGCGGTACCATATATGCGGGAAAAGTGGATATCCGCGTGCATGGTAACTGAAAATGCGTTACCAAAAGTATAGTTTGTTTGTTCCGAGCACTTTTCCGCGAAAGATTTCAACCGGAGGAACGGATGCGCCCAATTAGAGCGAAACCAGTAGGAGTAGAGTGAGTATTTTATCTGTTATAATACAATGACCATCCGTGATTTATTTCAATGAAAATTCTTTTTCTCAAGGAGTTGTCCTTTAACTTTATTTACTTTTCTAGGTTATTTAAGACAGCAGTGGAAATATGCCTTCTGACAACCACCAAACCGTAATATTAGAAGATAAATGCGTTACTGAAAATCATGAACGTGAACTGTTGGTGAAAATGTTAGACCAAAATGTTTCAGTACAAAAAATTTATTTTGGGCGGGACGAAGTTAGCCGGGTCTGCTAGTGTAAATATACAAATGTATAAATGGGAGACGCTTGATGAAACTAATGTATGCATGCAGATGCAAGGAGATATACATCATGCGTTATCACAAAGAAGTTTATGCTTCCCTAGAATCCGAAATAAAGCAACATCCTACTTAGTTTCTTAAAGGACCAACTGCTACATTTTTGTTGGGCCTTACATTTATAGCAATAGTTGCGTTCCAGATGCTTCACGATTTGCAGGTTTTTACAGGAAGTCGTTCCAGGTGACCACCTTCCATAAGGTTTATTAATGGAGAAAACAGCTGTTCCTGCAAATCGTGAATATCGTGATGCATCTGGAACGCAACTAACTTAAATCAAGCTCTCTTAATACGAACAATCATGTAAGTATATTTACCTCGTGTGTTACAACTTACCTTTTAATGAAATAAAATTTCCTTAAAAAAATATTAAAATCTCCAAAATAATTATTTGATTAGGTGGCAGTGCTACTTCAACAATTTACGAAAAGTAGAAACGTCAGTAAGCACAGTTTATGCACAGTCATGCGTGATACAAGGTCAGAATTAACATCACCGATGACAGTTAAGTCTTAGGTGGATTTTTATATTAGAATCTCATTTTTATGAAAAATGCAGACAGAGGGTATTGAATATAAGCCCTCGATGTGTTGGAGGATTAATCTTTTAAAAAGAAGGCTGACGTTTTTTTGTCGGGTATTGCTAGTTGTCTTGAAAATAACTTTCAGTTTAATGACAACAAATTTGAATATTCGAATGGCTTTTGCCTATAATTTACAATTCTTTTTTCACAATTTACTCACATTGTAAAAGAGTTTTGCATACAAAATATAGAGTTAGATAATCTTATTAGCGAATTCTTAGCCTTTCAAAGTTTTTGCGCAGTTGAAAAAATTAATTTAAGCCGTGAGGAATTATAGATGAAGTCCTTAAATAGTGGTACTTTTCCACAGTTTTAAAAAATATGTAATTTATTTTTATTTTTTCAATACCACACTCAAATGAAACAACTGAGAGGCTCTTAAGTATAAAGTTTTCTTCCTGCCGCAAAGAAAGAAACCGGCTTCTAATTAAAAATGTTTAAAGTGAACTGCATATTAAAAGTAATTTTAAATTGAAAAATATAGAATTCTTTGACTATTTAAACACTGAAGATGGAAATGATCTCATTATTGCTACTCAAAAATGCCGTAAATATAATGATGTGTACACTCATGTTAAAATGAATAAACCTTTTCTTATGAACTATATTTTATTTATAAATATACCAAAATATTGTTAAACACAACTACTCTGACGTTTTGAAGTATTATTTGATACTTACATTCATAATTTGCTTTGAATAAAAATGTACTGAAAAGTACTGATTTTTTAGCATGAAAAAGTCGAATGTACTGATTTCGCGCATACAAAATCTGGCAACCCTATTTACGACGGAAATGCTTTTTCGAAAACTGATTTGTTTTTTTAATTATCCTAATCTTGGGGGAAAAGAGATGTAAAAATATAAATTTGCAATGTTTTCATTACGCCGAATTCAAAATTTGAGATATTGCACATGCGCAATTAGGCTTTGCAAATCTCTTTTGTATGTAATGTTTTATAAAGGCTTTAAAAGCGTATGCGCAAATTCATCATGAGATATCAATAGTCACGTTTGCCAAATTTTCTAATCATTTGTGGTATTTATCACAAGAATTAGTTATTCTTTTTACATTTTTCAGATCAATTCTCCCACTAAAGTGTTCAGCCGAAACGTATGTGCAGAAAACTATCGAAAATGGTTGTGAAACGGATGCGCTTTCGGCTGTTTTCCTGAAATTAGTCTGATTCAATTTTTCGTTGAAAACGATTTCATTATGAACTTCACAGAAACTTTTTCATAATTACAGGAAACCAAACAAAAAACAAAGTTAAGATTCAGCAGTTATTTTAATTTGAATAAATAATTTTAATGTGTTGCTTCTGACGGAATTCGAACCTGGGACCTCATGAAAGCTAACAAATAGTAGCACACTTCTCTGCACACTCAGCTACTGACGAATACATGTTTTCAAATGCCCAGTTTGAACAAATATTTTAAAATTACTGTTTTGAAATAAGATGATGACATTTTTCGGATACGAAAAATTAACAAATATGGAAATCGTTTTCTGAACGTTTCCGAATACGAAAAATGTACGAAAACTGCACTTTCGGCAAAAAGTACGTTTCTCTGCTGGCTGGGTTAACATGAAAAAATTGCATCAATATGGTTTGAGAAGCTCTCCTACCATATAATAAATAATAAGTAAATGGGTTTGGAACGTAGTTTTTTATTTAAATGAAAATGAAAATTAAAAAAATAAAATATCGGATAAAGTAAAAAGGCTCGCTGCAAAAACAACTTAAGTCAAAAAATTTATTTTCTGGTTGAAATAAGTTCATAATACTAGTGGCAGAAATTAAAGAAGAAGCGTTTTAATTCTACAAGTTTTGTCTATATTCCTTTGTTTATTCAAAATTTAAATTTTTTTATAAATTCTACCTCATATTACATATAATGAACTGCATATAAATGGGCATTGCTCTGACGTCATGATTTTTTTAAAAAAGACTTTATAATTCAAAGATAAGATTAATTCCAAAATTTATTTAAAAAATTCGGTGCAATGTAAAATAAAAATATTGGTACCAAATGAAATATTTTTTTTTGGGTTCACAAGGATGAATAGGAATTGAAAATGCCCCTTTAATCTATTTTATTTTTTAACCTAATAAATTTAGTCCTTAACATATAGTATTTTAAAAACAAGAGCTGCAAAATTTCAAGGATATCAAGGATAAAATTATAAAAGGATATTTTCAATCAGTGTTGCAAAAAAATTACCAAAATTCCTCAAAAATAAATGAAAAATCCTCAAAATCCGAACAAATTACTCAAAATTTTCTTATTTACTATTTACAGGTACTTAGCATAAAAATTAATTACATTCCCCAATTCAATTGGTACATTTGTTCTTGCGGTTCAAACAAAGTATCACCGTTATTTTTTATGCCTTGGTCTGTATATAATATTTCTGCAACTATATTAGTGCTCAATCAGTCCTACACATTTTTAAACTACTAAATATACGTTCTACTGAAGCGTTAGAAAAGGGCTATATTAGTAATGCAGATACAATTTTTTTAATTGGGAAACTTATATGAACCTGAAGAATCTCTTAATTCAAAAACTTGCTTCCTATAATTTTCTGGATCTAATGAAGAATCAATATGAATATCCTTATGATCGAATAGTAATACAAATTAGTTGAAAATATAACGATCGAATGAAAAATATTTTCGATAACTTTTTGAATATTTAGCAACAAATGCAGATGTGCTTAAAGCGAAAAAACACCACACAAGCGGCTTGGCAAACCAAGCGAAACATCCCTTTGCTTAAAGCTATTTATGTTGTGTATGGGGGTGTTGAAGGTTTGACAAGCCGTGTGCGGGAAATGTGAACAAAAATCTAAATTTTTTTATTTTCTGGCCACCATGTTGGCGTCTGATCAAACCGCTTACGTTGTGTATGATAAAATCGCCTCATTCGCAACGGATTTTTTACCGAATGAGGACGCAAGAGAGAAAAATCGAAGAAAACCAAACCCTTTTACATTGTGAACCGGAAGAAAACTAAAATTCTTTGCTTGAACGAGTCATGTTTGCATGGTGTATGGCGAAATGGGAAAAGTAGGCTTGAAGAATTTTTTGGTAAGCCGATTGTGTGGTGTATTTCGCTCTTTATAAAACTTCGGTAAGTTTTATGTTCAAAAATTTGCAGAGCGATTTAACAACTCTCTTGTGTAAAACATGGTTGCATTTGTTATCTGCAAATATATCGAGAGGAAATTCCTCTAAATAAATATCTTCAAAAAATACTCAAGCGCTCCCGAAATTCCTCACGTTTTGAGGAATTACTCACAAAGTGGCAACACTGTTTTCAATACCTACCCGTCCCTTATACTATGTCTCCATTGAGAGATTTATCCATTAAGATTTAATAAATCCAGTTGCTAAATCACAACCGTCTCCATTACCACAACGAGATATGTTTGACGTTCACATTTTTAAATATTTGACGTTTGCTTATGTATGATTTTATAAATACAGTTGCGGACATTGATATACAGACAGATAAAAGGAAGGTACCAAGCGGAATTTCATTATATGAATTCTGAATATTATTGGCTTCTTAATCGTGGTAAATATGTATGTATAATATATAGTTTGGAAAGTGTAAAGAATGGTACCATATTCCGAATCATTTTCCCGAATTTAAGAAAAATTATCAAAACGGTAAAAAAACATTTGCGGAAAGAAAAATTTTTGTAGAACTCTCTTATTCATAGGAGGGAACTGAAAATCCAATCGTGGGCCTTTGGCATATCATGAATACGAATTGAGTTCTAGAGGATGTTCGGTGCAATGTTATCGAAGCAGAACCATTACCGAAATTTATAAATTTTTTGTCGCAGCGCGTAAATTACTTATAGAATGCGGAGAAGACTCTGCATGATATTACTATAAAACATTTCTTCTAAATTTTTAGTTTTTAAAATAATATTTTCTAAATTTATTGCAACCAAAGTTATGTAAATATGTATTACTAATTTTCCTCCCAAACTAACAAAAATATAAAAATCCCTAAAAATACGAAAATTCATGTTTTTATTTTACGTTTTATGTTTATGTTTCAATGCCCTCAACTGTATATTGAATCCACAAATGTCATTTGACTTATGGCATGTGAATTTGAGGTTGCCACATCCAACAAATTGTACTTATTGATCAATATTATTGAAGATTTGGCGAAGATTTAACTTAAATCTACTGCCTTTCGAGATTTAATTTTATATGGTAAATCTCAAAAGATTTAACGTCAAATCTCGTCAGAGGGCTAAATCTTCATTAAATCTCACAATGGAGACATAGTATAACGCACCAAAAAATGTAATGTGTTTTAACTCTACAGAATCTTTTCTTTCATTTTATACCCATACTATTTTTTTAAGTATATTGTACTGAAATTTTAAATCATTTTTTGAAATACTCATATCTTTCAAATTTGAAGATTCTTTTGAAAATCCTGACGTCAGAGAGAAAAATTAAGAACGCAATTTTACCAAGGCATATTCAACAAGGTAGAAGTGACAATTCAGTCGAGCTCTCTCATAGCTGACTGTAATGTCAAAAAATGTAAACAAAGATATTAACCGTTTGTTATGCATTTACCATAGCTATAGTCAAAATAAAGTCGCCTCCTAAAGTTAAAAGCAGCTTTTTGACATAACTTTCAATGCGATATCTGTCAAAAAAAGCGGCTTTTAGCTTTAGAGTCGACTTTATTTTGACTATAACTGCGGGCTAATATCTTTGAAATGAAAGTTTTTGTAGATATGAAAATTTTTAAAATCTCATTAGAATCAGCTTCATTTTAGGTATTACCTTTTCGTTTTAATGTAAATGTGGAAATGCATACTTACACAAAATTACACACTAAGTGAAACACACTCATTTATAAACCCATTTTCGCAATTTTCTTGCTTTTACTAGCGCAATGTTTTTAAGCATTTATTTATCTTTTATTCAAATACTTAATTCTAAAGTATATTAGACATTTAAAAAAGGTTTGATTATTCTAAATTTATATCAGAATTTAACTTCAATAATTCAGCTATTAAATTTTTGCAATTCGAAATTTCCTTTCCATTAAATTTATTAAAAGTTAGTTTCAGTTTCTTTATGTCAACAAGGAATTCCGGGTTAAGTTTTGTTAGACCACCATTTGAAATTTGGTCTATCCATGTATATGAGTGGAAGATTTTCTCTTCATATTCGGTATAATAATTCCTGCACCTGGGAACAAACGCGTCCGCTTAGAAATACCCGGCTGCGATGGGCAACAAATAAAGTCACTGTCACTAAAATGGTCTTCGCGCACACGTGAAGAGTCTCCTAATGAAGCATTGATACTACGGAGTTTTAAAATAACGCACAAGTTTGTTGTACTGGCTCTTGTCAAACACAACATACCGCCCGTAATTCCTTTTAATTTTATTATGTATTTAAAATCAGTCGCACAGCTCACAATTGAAAATGTATATTAAAAAAATTAAAATTTTGAATAGTATAGGGTTAAGACTTGACATTTTAGTCGCAGTTCAAAAGAGAGAAATGTCGAAATCACATCTACCTTGTTATGCCTTGAATTTTACTATAATTTGCCCTTGGTTTGGCGAATATATTGATTTTTTTTTGTGTGCAAAATTGCCCTTCGCAAGGTATTATATCGCCGTTTAAGGTACAAAATAGTTCTCTTTTTTATAAAGCAATCACATTTTGGCTGGTATATTTCAGGACGAGCCAAGAGCTTGTGTGAGCAAATCCAATTTTTGGCAGCAAATGTCAGTTACGCGGCTTTGCAGAATGACGATACGCGATTTTGTACTTTAAACGACGATATGTATGTTGAGCTACACATTTATAAAAAAAATTTTAAACATTAAATAAACAGAAGAAATATAGCCAAAACTGGTCAAGATAAAGCGTTTCTATTATTGTCACCAGCGTAAATTATAAATGCCAAAAATCCCGGGATTCTAGTGAAATAATCCCGGGATTTTCGGGACTTAAAAAAGACTGGGATCCCGTGTGTACATGAGAGGTGTACGCCGACAGACTTTGCGACGCCGGCGCTACCGCCCATAAGGTCGATTCCAAAGAGCCATGAGGCTACAAATCTTATCATGTCATCAGTCAGTTAGGCATTCGCCATGGCAATTCAGATTATAATTATATTTAATTCATTCATTGAATTAGTTTTAAATTAAAATTACGTTACTACCTACTTCAATTAAAATGTTGAGTGTCTGGCGCTGATGGATGGGCGAACAGAAGAAGGTCTGAGGTATATACATACATTCACAAATGGCTCTCTATGTTCTCTACAGATCCGTATGTACTATTTAAATTTAAAGAAATAAAAAAATTTAAAAAGTTAAGTTATTGGGGTAATTTATGTCACTATCAATCAATTTTTGCAATAATCTTATCAACCGTTATTTTAAATTATGGAGTTGTTACGATTTTTTGCGGATTACATATTGAAAACAAGGTTGGTCTACTTTTTTCCAAAAGTTTGACCCATCAACTCGAACCAGATAAAAAAATGGCTATAGATGGTTAAAATTTCCCCTAAAATATTAAGCGCTAAATTTTCTAAGGAGAACCGAATGTAATGAAAAATAATACCGATTTTTACCAAAAAGGCAGAACTTTAACGCTGTGTAGAAAGCAATGCGATGCGAGTGAGCAATTCCTTCCTAGGGTTCACCACTAAGGCATGCTAACGTAATTTTCACACAGCCACCTAGTACATTTTACGTATGTGGGACGCCAGAATAAAATAACTTACAAATGTAAAAATTAGCAGAAAAAGTGTTTGCTTTTATTGAAAGTCTGTTTAAAATATTTAAAAAACACGCAGGAATTTCAACTTGGCACTATTTTATCTCTAATATTGAGGAGTTAGATAAAATGAGGCCGCTTCTGTTAAAACCAGGGACGTGAACCGGATGAAAAATTTGGTCGGTTCGGTTCAGCGGTTCGAACCGTTTTTTGCATTTTTGGATTGGTTCGTCAAAGCGGTTTTTTTTATCTTGGAACCGGGGGTTCGGTTCGGTTCAACGGTTCGAAAAACAAAAAAAAAAAAATAACGCGCAAGTTTAAGTGTCAAGAGTCTGTCAAATGAGATGGGTTGCCTTTATATTTGATATTGTCACATGGTAAACAAACATGGTAGGTATTACCCTGTTTAACAAAAAGAAAAAAGTGGGTACATTTATCTATTGAAAATTGGTTGAAACGAACCTTTATAGAAATTGGTTCGGTTTTCGGTTCGGATCAAACATTTGTGGAAAATTTCGGTTCGGTTAATGGTTCAGTTAATTAATAGAAAAAAGCGGTTTTCCGGTTCAAAACCGGTTCGGTTCGAAACCGTTGCACGTCCCTGGTTAAAACTGCTTTCTGGGATATTAGCGTTAAGGTCTTTGGTGTGTGATAACTTTCTTGTTGTTGTAGTATGTGTATAAAAAAGTAGTATTGTAGTATTGAAAAAAAAATCGCTAGATTACCAGTATTCGACCCTAATTTAACTGTAATAAACGCTTTCGGTCGAAATATGTGTTACCTAAGTTTTTTCCGAGTTACGTTCTTTTTGGAAAAATAAAGGAGATCATAATCCTGTCCAATTGCCCAAATTATGCAAAAAAACTAATTTAAAAATATAATTTTCATTTCGTAAAATTGTGTTTTTAAACGAGTAGTATTTAGTTCCTTCAAGCGATGTATTTCAATGTACATACACCATGAAAATTTTGTACAAAATTCCTTAGGCGCCGATGTTTTCGGCGTGACAAAAAACGGCGGCAGCGTGGCTCGGCTCTAATGTACATACATTATCTGTATAAAGTTAGCGAAACCATGAAGAAAAAAATGTCGTATATACCCATGAATTAGCCGTTTTTTGCCATTAATTAGTTGTGGAAAAAATAATTTTGTCGTTCTTGTATTTTTTTAGATATAAGGAGTTTTGCTAACTTTATATAAAGTTAGCGAAGCACCCCCTCCAACTCAAAGATAAAAAAGTAGGCTTTATATCGAAATTTGCCGTTTTTTTGCATGAATAATAATAAAATAGAAAAGCAAAATCGGTTACGTTATGTATCACTTTGAAATTTAAATTGCATAATTTGCCGTTTGGCTTGTTTTGTGCACTAAAATTGTTTTTGATTTTGTCCTTTATTTTTTTTGTCTAAATAGCCTTATTTAAAAAAAATATTTCAGGACTTGGATAGCGGTTTAAAAATTTGTTAAAAATAATAAAAACAATAAATTTCTTTATTGCATAATTTTCCGTTTGCTTGGTTTGTGCATTAAAACTATTTTTGATTTTTTCGTAAAATTTTTTTGTTTGTTTAAACAGCCTTATTTAAAAAAAAATTAGTGACTTGGAAAGCGTTTTAAAAGTTGTTTTAATAATAAAAACAATTTATTTTTTGTTGCATAATTTACCGTTTGGCTTGTCTTGTGCACTAAAACTTTTTCATTTTGTCGTTAAATTTTTATGTTTGCTTAAACAGTCTTATTTAAAAAAAATTTTTGGACTTGGAAAACGGTTTAAGAATTGGTTACAAAAAATATAAAGAATAATTTTTTTTGTTGCATAATTTGCCGTTTGCTTGTTTTC